ATGGATTATGGTGACTTGGAAGAGAGTGTGTGTGTGTGTATGATGGGAGGTTGCTTGGTGGACTGTTCCAGTAACACTGGATACACCGAAGGCTCTGACTTTATCACAATACATCAGTGTAACAAAAGTGTACTTGCGCCCTATAAGAGTGAATATAGAGAGGAAAAACAGTGAGTTTTCCCTTATTCACCATTTTAACTATTTTTTTAGGCATATAGTTTGGTGGCATTAAGTATAATACAATCACACTGTGGTACAACCATACCACCATCATCTCTAGAACTCCTTTCATCTTACAAAAATGAAACTTTGTACCCATCAAACCAGCAGTAACCAGGCTTTTTGGCACCAGGGACTGGTTTCATGGAAGACAATTTTTCCATGGATCAGGGATGAGGAGGGGTGGGGGTGGAGGTTTGATATGAGTCTGAAAGCAATGATTTATTATGGTCTCTGTGCAGTCAAACCTCTTTGCTAGTGACAATCTGTATTGCTAGTCAATCCCCAGCACCAGCATCATTGACGCAGCTCCACCTCACCTCAGATCATCAGGCATTAGATTCTCATAAGCAGTGTGCAACCCAGATGACCCCCTCACACGTGCAGCTTACAACTTAGTGCTCTTATGAGAATCTGATGCTGCTGCCTATCTGACAGAAGGCAGAGCTCAGGCAGGGATGCAAATGATGGGAAATGGCTGTAAATACAGATGAAGCTTTGCTAGCTTTCTCACTGCTCACCTCCTGCTGTGCAGAACAGTTCCTAACAAGCCTACAGGTGCATGTCATCACACCTGGCTAACATTTTTAATAATTTCTTTGAAGATGGGGTCTTGATATGTTGTCCAAGCTGGTCTCTATTTCCTGGCCTCAAGTGATCCTCTTGCCTTTGACTCCCAAAATGCTGGGATTATAGGCATGAGTCATCACACCCAGCCTCAATTAAGTTATGCCACAGATGTGATTAAAGTTGACTTTAAGTAAGGGAGATTATTTTATATAATCTAGGCAGGCCTTTAAAGCAGGACTTCAAGCTTCCCATTTGTGGGTAGCACCATGAGCCAAATCAATTGTCCCAGTCATCACCAGTCTCAGGTGGGAGAGTTCAAAAGGTCTCCAGCAATTAGATAGCAGAGGTCTGCTGGCAGCTCAAGTATGACTAGCTCCAGTGCTCTATGAGGTCAGAAGGACCCACCCAGCAAATGAATTAGTCTGGGAAGGTTGATGCCTCCTTCCCCACCTTGCACCTCTGTCACATCCAGTCACTGGTAACCCTACAGGACTGTGATCCAGTTCCCTCCAATAAGCAGATGCTCCAGAGGTTTGCATCTGCCTGAGTCACAGGGAGATCTATGTCTCCTTGGCTAGGCCGCCCCTCTCTGCCACTATACAGCAGAGGGAGCTGAGGCCTGACAACCTTGGGCGCTTAATGGAGGCTGGGGTGATTCACTCAGTTCTAGCCCTGGCCCTGATTGATGTCACTGACAGAACAGAACAACTTTGCAGAATTTGTTTGTGTCCCAGGTATATTCCCCTGTGGATCAGACACTGTTTGAGTTCACAGAAACTGTGACTCAGCCCTGGTCTATGCTGCTCCCTGGAGCTGGCATGTGTGTCTCAGCTGCAGTCTGTGTTGGGGCAGGTACAGCTAGAGCTCACACTCTGCTTTCAGTTTCTGCCTCTTCCCACCTGCCTTTGTCTCAGCTACGATCCCCTGAGGGCCAGGTGCATCTTAGACTCACTAAAGCAGTCCTCTGGTTTAGCCTTGCCCTGGGAGTATGCCATCTCTATGCATGTGTATTCTAGTTCCCATGCTTTGCCCAGGCCTGTACTGCCTCATGAATACCCTTTACTCACGGGGCCTGCATCTCCATCCCAGATCTGTTCCACCAGTGGCTGCCACAGGAGATGATGCCTGGCTTCCTCTGGTTGCCCAAAGAGACAGGGAGTGTCTTTCTAAAATATCCTCAGGGGTGTGAGCCCTATTGTTCCTGCTGCTGCCGCTGCTGCTTGGTGCCATGGGGCACTGCCTCTCCCTCTCCTGTATGGTTCCCTCTTGGTTGACCATCTTCTTACTCCCATGCCACAAAAATCAGCACAGACCAGCAACTGCCAACACCCTGTCCACACCTCTTGAGAAAATGCCCAAGAATCTGGACTCCATGGGGCACAGGCTTTCAGACCTCAGCTTGAAAGTGGAGGGGAGCGCTGGGAGTTCAGAACTGCAGGTAGAGAATATGTACAGTTTTATACAGTTTTATGTTTGGCAGAAGAGTGCCATATATACACACACACACATATATATATACACACACATACATATGTACACACACACTGTGGGTAGGAAACAGAATATCCTTGTTCTTAGGAAATACTGAAATATTTCATATTTAGGGATAAAAGGTAAATGATGCATACAACTTACCATTGCCAAATGTTTAGCTACAAGAGTAATAATACATATGTAATGTATAATATATATGATATATAAAGTATATATACATTATATTGTATAGGTATTGTACAAATACATGTATATATAATATACAATACATATATAATGTATACATATACTTTAGAAGTTTAGATACAAGAGTGATAATACATATATAATGTATTAAATACATATATAATAATACATATAATGTATTAAATGTTTAGATACAAGAGTAATAATACATATATAATGTATTCATTTATCAGAATATGCAGATTATATATATTTCATATTTAATGAAATCATTTATCAGAATATGTAGATGTTTTATCTTTCCACACACACTGTGGGTAGGAAATAGAATATCCTTGTTCTTAGGAAATACTCACTGAAATATTTAATATTTAGGGGCAAAAGATAATGATGTATGCAACTTACCATTGCCAAATGTTTAGATACAATAATAATACATATATAATACATATATAAAGTATAGTTATACATTATATATGTAATAATACATATATTATTATAAGAGTATTAAAGTATATGTATACATTATATATGTAATAATACATATTATATTATTATAAGAGTATTATTCCTTAATAAACAAAACACTAAATCTGGGTGAATCTGGATCATATGAATAGCAGTGCTCCTTAGTATTCTTGCAACTTATCTGTAAATTTGAATTTTCCCAAATAAAAAGTTTTAAAAAATGGCCTATGACTCCGTTCTCCATTTTCCCAAATGACTTTGGTTTCACTATTATCCCCAGATGTACGCTAATCTAACTTGAAAAGTTCTATGAGGTTGAGTCTCTGGCAAGAGCTATGGAAATATACTCATGATAAGTAAGCTTCCAATATTTGTGTTTACAGAACATGGAAAAGGAACACAAATAAAAATACAAATATAAAAATACATTAATACATAAATACAAAGAATCACATTTACAACATGGTTTCAGATAATAAGTATCAGGGTGCAGATTTTGGTGTTAAAAACATTTAAATTCTAAGTTTTGCTTGGGCATATACCAGTCATGTGACCTAGAATAGGACATTTTACCTCTTTCTTTTTCAGTTTCCTTATCTTGAAGTGGGAGACATAAATTTTCAGTGTATGTAGGAAAAAAATACATGCTAGCATATGAAGATTTCTGGAAAAGAAGATTAAGGAAGAAAACTAGACACCAAATAGTTTCCTACTCAAAGATTTTAGTGAATTCACTGGTATTCTTGGGAGTCTGAAAAGCTTTGTCATTTTCAAGAATCTCTATTTGCAATAGGGAAAGAAAGGAATCTAACTTCCTAAGTTCTTTCTGAGAACCACGTTTTACATGTAGACTCATTTAGTATTTAAGACCTTGTGACACTTCCTTATATGGCTGGTGAAACTGTAGATTGTTAGAACATCTTCAAAGGTGTTTTGTTTTGACAATATCTATCCAAATAAAAGAGTGCAGATGTGCACATTGAAGTTTGTATAGGGATGGTCACTGCAGTATTGTTCTAAAAGCAAATTAATTAACGGGCATCAGTTGAATGAACTATTACATATTCATATAATTAAAGACCATAGCCATTAAGAAAAATAAAACATCTGCATATTCTGATAAATGATTTCTTATATATTTATCATAGAAAGCAATTTATGTAAGGAATGCTACCATTTTTGCAGGGTAGGGGAAGAAGGAAGGTTATACACACGTCTCTATCTCTGCCAAAGTGCTTATTTACACTGTCTAGAGTGCCACACAGGATATTTAACGATATTTTTTCAGAAGGGGCGTTTAAGGACACGAAATGGAGGGAAACTTTTCACTCTATACCCTTTGCACAGTTTATATTTGTTACCAAGTGCACGTGTTACATTTAAAAAAACAAAAGATTCATTTCTTAACAAATTTGCTACTGCCTCCTCACCACCGAACACCTCCTAAACCTCACATCTTATCTTCAGGGCTTTGGCTGAGATCACCGCGAGTTTCTTCTCCAGCAAGAGTCTTCTGGGTGTCTGGTTTAAGAGAGATGTGAGAGGTAGGGCATAGGTGGTGGTGGGAGGAACAAACAGGTGGACATTTAACTTTTCATTCTCCATCTTTTATGTTTATTTTTGCATTTACAATTATGGACATGTAATATCTTTTAAAAACAAATAATTTGTTTTTATTAAAGAAATCTCCAGACCTCACCTCTACACCCCACCTACCTCTAGCCTAGCCTTTTTCGTAGAACAAGCCCACGGTGGTCCACACCCAGCTAGAAGTCAGGACGTTGAGCTTTAGGAACAAGCTAAGGAAGGGAGCGGGCAACCTTACAAAAAAGGTATTTTAGAGATACGTAAGCTGATGAGAAGATTAGCATTGGTTCCTTTACTCAAACAGAGATAGAATATATATACCAAGGAGCAGGTAGGGGAGGAATAAGGACACTAAAATACAGTCATCTTTAAGAGTAAAGTGAAATTCTTAGGGTTTGAAAGGTCAAAGGCGCATGCGCACTACCCGCCGGGATTTGCAGTCTCTTCCGGGCGAGCCACTGTGCGGCCGCAGAGGGAGCGGCGGCTCGTTCGAGCGCATGCGTTTGGCGGCGGCGCCAGGCCTGACGGTCCCTAGGTGGCCGGGCAGCGTACGCGTCTGGGGACCCAGCATGGCGGTGCCCACAGCGGCCATGGGGCCGTCGGCGCTGGGCCAGAGCGGTCCTGGCTCGATGGCCCCCTGGTGCTCAGTGAGCAGCGGCCCGTCGCGCTACGTGCTCGGGATGCAGGAACTGTTCCGGGGCCACAGCAAGACGCGCGAGTTCCCGGCGCATAGCGCCAAGGTACACTCTGTGGCCTGGAGCTGCGACGGGCGTCGCTTAGCCTCGGGGTCCTTCGACAAGACGGCCAGCGTCTTCTTGCTGGAGAAGGACCGATTGGTGAGCTGCCGGGGCCCGTCTCAGGCTAGAGAAAGGGGCTGTGATGAAGCTAGGTGTGGGGTTGAGGGAGAAGGGAGTGGGCGGACAGAGCGCGTAAGAGGAGAGCGGGATTGAGGAGAGGAGCGGGGCGGAGCATGGAGGAAGTGTGGAGAGACTAGGGGGAGTGATGGGGTGTGTGGGCGTGACCAGGCGGAGTGCCCTGGCTGGGGTCGCGAGAGGTGAGGAGAGAAAGACTGGAGATGTATAGGAAGTGTTGCAGTGAGTTGTGGGGATGGGAGGGGGAGCAGTGGGTGGGAAGGGAGGAACGGTGTGTTGGTGAGGAGTGCCCAGGTACTGTTGTGTTGGGGGGGCCCTGTGGTGGTGAGTTGGGCCCTTTGGAAGTGATAGGATGTCCTGTGGGAATGAGCAGGTGGGCTGGGACTTTGGTGGTAGAGTAAAGGTGGAAAACCAGGAAGGCCAGGGAGGACTAAAGAGTAAGTGCACTGGGGTGGAAGCTCAGAATGGTTCAGGGTCACTAGGGAGGAAGATGGGGGAATATTGGGAAGAGTTTGGAGAAAGGACTTGGAAGGATTGGACTCTTTTAAATTATCCAGATAGATCTTTGTTGGTCCTTAGATACCTTGTTTTGAATAAAGTTGAAAAGTTACATGTGAAGGCAGGTACATCTGTGTGAAGTGACATTTGGACTTTGTTTTTCAGGCCAAAGAAAACAATTATCGGGGACATGGGGATAGTGTGGACCAGCTTTGTTGGCATCCAAGTAATCCCGACCTTTTTGTCACTGCATCTGGAGATAAAACCATTCGCATCTGGGATGTGAGGACTACCAAATGCATTGCCACTGTGAACACTAAAGGTGACTGTTCAGAGAGAGGGCAGTGGGAAGATGAACTACTTTTATTTATTCAACAACCGTTTGTTGAATATCTTCTCTGTTCCCTATCGCCACAAAAAATTTAGAAATTTGCCAAGTGCAGAGTTGTGTGCCTGTAGCTCAGCAGTTCTCAACCTGTGGGTCGTGATCCACAGGAAGTGTATTAAAGGGTTGCAGCTTTAGGAAGGTTGAGAACTACTGCTGTAGTCCCAGCTACTCGGGATATACTAAGGCAGAAGGATCGCTTGAGCTCAGGAGTTCAAGGTTGTAGTTAACTATGTGCCATTGCACTCTAGTCTGGGCAGCAGAGCAAGACCCTGTCTCAAAAAAATAATAATAAATATAAATAAATAAATAAAATAAAAGGCTAAAGTCTCAATGGTCTTGGTAGTTTAGGAGAAAATGACCAGAAAGTTGTGCAGTACGTTTATAAGCTGTGTTCTTACCAGGTATTATTTTATAAATCTTGAGGCCATGGTTTATGTGTCATTAGAAAAGCAAATAGTCACAGAACCATGATACATGAAAATTTTGAAATGCATCCTGATACATTTTAAATTGTGTCATAAATGCTAAAACGTCAAAAAATAATCATTTTAAGACTATAAAGTTGATGACATTTTTATTCATGTGTTCTGTGTGGGCTACTGGACTTTGTTGACAAGACTTGTACCTGGAGGCAGAATGGTGTAGTGCTTTTGCCAGGTTTAAAACTGGTGATGCATAAGTGATTTCGGTGATACATAGGTGAACATTAAAAACCAGTTATATATGTGAATATTTTAATGTTTGCTAGCAGAAAAGAACTAGCTCATAAAATTTATTGTTAAATTGAAACTAAATTTATTTAAATAAATTTTTGAATCATTTTAAGAACTTGAATAAAGAGAAGTATAGGTGTTACATGGATAGGCTGAAAATTCTGAAGGTGTCATGGAAATGATCAGAATTTGAGAAATGCTAGAGTAACAGAGAATAGGGGGCTTTCAGGTCAAATCTGGGTTTAAATCTTGGTAAGTGACTTCATAGCTTTGACTCTTTGGCAGATCTTATCTTCTGTATCTTAATCTATAAAATGGGGATAATAAAGGGTACTTTAGAGAAGTATTGTAAGGACCAGATGGGGAAATTTGTAGACGAATGGGCTGGACTTACAGTTGATAATGCAGAAGTGATAATTCTCGTTCATTGATTAGGTACTTTATGAACGAGCTCTGAAGATAGCTCTGGTCTTCTTTCTAGGATAGCAAAATAAACTCTGGAGGATTATGAGCAAACAGATTATCTTGCTGATTGTATCTGGGTTCCCAGGAGAGAACATTAATATCTGCTGGAGTCCTGATGGGCAGACCATTGCTGTAGGCAACAAGGATGATGTGGTGACCTTTATTGATGCCAAGACACACCGTTCCAAAGCAGAAGAGCAGTTCAAGTTTGAAGTCAATGAAATTTCCTGGAACAATGACAATAACATGTTCTTCCTGACAAATGGCAATGGTTGTATCAACATCCTCAGGTGAGGGGATTGGCTTAGGGGATTATCTATTTTTTCGCTGGGTGCTATGATGGATACAGAGATGAGTTAGATGTGAGGAGCTTAAAAGGTAAAGAGTAATAAAGAATCCTAACCTTTATTAAACACATTTGACTTCATAAGGACTTCTCAGGGATTGATGGTATGTTTCCCATTTAACAAATGAGGGTCTGAGGTTGAGAGTAAGTCATTAGTCAGCTGGTGGGCACTAGAACAGGATGCGCCTTGAAGCATGGCTCATTTGTACCCTTTAAAGTTTTAAATATCACTCTGCTTTTGGGAAAGCCATCCCCAACCCTTATCCCCCCAGATTAGAGTTAGGTTAGAGGTTTATTTTATGTACTTCGTTGGAAGCACTTTTCATTCTGTATTTTACTTGCATATTTACTCGCTTATGTCTTAGATTAGACTGTGTTTGCCTGTTTACTGTTGAATCCCTAATGTCTAGCCGAGTACCTGCTACACCTAGTAGGATCTCATTAAATATTTCTTCTCTAAATAAATGAAATTGTAGAATTGAAATTCAAGTCTGTTCAATTCTATTCTTTCTACTACTACAGATGAGCAGTGCAAAACAGAGTTTGATAGGTTATGTGATAGAAGGCCAGGAGTTTGCAATGGAATTCCAAGGAAAGAACATATCACATTGACTGTGGGGGTTGAAAGAGGGAGCTTCTGAAGTTGATCTTGAAAGAGAATTTTAAAAGTCAGCAAAGGGAACTACACACTCAGCAAAACAGGTATTGAGTAAGCATGACTTACTTGGAAAGTAGTTAGGTCAGAGGAGTTGGGGAGTGGCGGAAGATAGGGGATATGAAGAGAGGACGTGATAATGGGAAGGTAAAGTCAAAATGTAATTTTGGACAATTATAAAAGGCCTTGAATTTTATGCTTACTATCTTGGATGTTATTTTGTAGGCAGTGGGGGATTCTGTAACTTAAAAAAAGTTTATTATAAAACAGATTGACAACTGTGTAAAAACAGATGTGTAGCTTAATGAACTATAATATATTTAACACTGCGAAACCCTATAGATTTGAGAAATAGTTCTTTTCCAGCCACCCCAGAAGCACATCCATATGTTTTGTCCTAATCACAACTCATTCCCTCAAAAATAAACACTATCTTGACTTTTATGTTAGTTTTATCTGCCAGTGTCCATCCCTGGATACTTTAGTTTTGTTCACTTAAAAAAAATTGATAGGTTTTTAAAGTCTGTGAAACTACTAAAAGAAAGGGATGGAAACCTTCTAGTCTGTTGAAAAAACAGACTGATAACCTGTGGAGATTCTCCTAGTCTGAAATTTGGTGATTCCTTATGCTTATTTACTTGTTGGAATACTTTATAGAGGAACTTTCATCTATTTGGTTATCCGGTAATATAGTATATCTAGGGAATGCAGGATAAATTCTTGGTTCTTTGTGTTTGGCTTTACATAATGAATTAGTTCTCTATCACCTCCAATGATAAGGGGCTTTTTAGGGGTCATTATTGACCCATGTATTTAAACATAGTTGATGTGTTCCAGTCTATTGTAATTGTCATGCTTATTGAAGCACAGATTACCATTTTTTTTGGTCAGTGAGAGCCTCTTCACATTGATTCTTGAGCCCTTTATTTTTTCTTTCAGTTTAGTATGAGGGTACAGGGTACAACTTACATTGTTTGCATTTGTTAGGTAAAGTCCAAGTTGTAGTTGTGCCCCTCACCCAGGGGGTATGCCACATACCCTTACATTGTGGCTGTTAGGTAAGAGCACACAAATCCCCTTCTCTCCTCCCCAGTACCTCTCTCATGCCCCCTGCCCCCAACTTGAGTCTAATTGTGTTTTTTTCTTGTATGGGTGTGTATTTGTTTGTCTACTGGTTTCACATTAGTATTGAGTACATTAGACACATGCTTTTCCATTCTTGTGATACTTTGCTAAGTAGCATGTTCTCCAGCTACATCAGGTTAAAACAAAAGATATAAAGTCTCCATCTGTTTTTATGGCTGAATAGTATTCCATGGTATACATATACTGCAGTGTATTAATTCATTCATGAATTGATGAACACTTGGATTGATTCCGCATCTTGGTGATTGTGAATTGAGCTGCAATAAACATTCTAATGCATTATGTCCTTGTGGTAATGGGATTGTGGGATCAAATGGAAGATCTACTTTGAGTTCTTTGAAAATTCTCCATACTTCTTTCCAAAGAGTCTGTATTAGTTTGCAATCTGACCCACAATGTAAAAGTGTTCCCTTTTCTCCACACCCTTGCCAGCATCTGCAGCTTTGGGATTTGTTAATGTAGGCTCTTATCACTGGGGTTAGGTGATAGATATCTCAGGGTGGTTTTAATTTGCATTTCTCTGATAATTAGGGATGGTGAACATTTTTTCATGTGTTTGTTGCTTGAGCCCTTTTTTTTTTTTATATATAATCCTGTAGTCTTCTGTTTCTTGCTGTCTAGTATGATAAGATGTACTAAGTTTATTTTATACATTTCCTCCCCAGACCTTTATTTAGAAAATGATCCAAGAAGCCTAGGAAATGATATTGATACTAGGAATGTCCATTGCTGCTGGGTTGTTCATTGTTTCTAGGTATTTCCAGTAGACAGCTAGGAAATATCTGTTTATATTTTTAAAGGTAAAATACCTTGAAAATGCATACTGATAACTTCCTGTTAAAATTCAGGACTGTAGGTATTTTACTAAACCTCTTCTATATTACAAATATATCTCTTACCTTACAAGCTGAGTATTCTAGTTCTGAAGGTTAGAGGGCATCACAGAATTCTAATATCCCATGGTTACTTACTACCTTTATCCCATCTTAAACATGTAAATGTTCCAGAATGACAATACTGCTTCTGTTACCATCAATGTGTACTTAAGACAGAAAAAACATTTTGCTTTTTGCATATGCTTTCCCATTCTTCCCCCAATAAATAGTATTATACTATTAAAAAATAGTACTATACTGGGTCAGACAAGTAAGTTTGCAAACTCATCCTAGAAAAAGTACTTTAAAGGGTAGACTAGGTGCTGGTGTCAGTGCACAGCTTTCCAAGGGAAGTACTTTGAAGGTTATCCTAGTGATATTTAGCAACGAGGTATGTAGCACTTTTTCTAGGATGAGTTTCCAAACTTAATTGTCAACCTCATATGTTGTCAGAGTGTGTAGCTATCACAATTAGACCCTCCCTTTAAACCATACATAGTTTCTACAAGAAACTGTATATTTAATATTCATCACTACTACTTTTGCTCATAAGTTTAGTCATTTTGGTTGCCAGATCTCTGGTTAAGATTCCTCAGGAAGAGTTCATTAGAATATTATTCCCAGAGTTCTTATTATAACTTATTTATATACTTACAAAACTTACAGATACTTTATTGTGCTTCTAGTTGTATTTTAACATTTGATGTTCAGCTTTGCTGCATGTAAAAATCCTTGACTGATATTTTCTTGCTTGTGTATCTTTTTTTTTTTTTTTTTTGTGAGACAGAGTCTCACTTTGTTGGTAAAGTGCTGTGACATCACAGCTCACAGCAACCTTAAATGCCTGGGCTTAAGTGATTCTCTTGCCTCAGCCTCCCAAGTAGGTGGAACTATAGGCACCTACCACAATATCCAGCTATTTTAAAGAGACAGGGTCTCACTCTGGCTTGAGCTGGCCTTGAACCTATGAGCTTAGGCAGTCCACCCACCTTGGCCTCCCAAGTGCTAGGATTATAGGTGTGAACCACCACGCCTGGCCCTTGTTTGTGTATCTTAAATAGAGTGCTTCATTTGTTTTGGGCATAAAGCGTCACTGTCAAAAAGTCTTATGATAATAGAGTTTTCTTTTTCTTTAAAGAAAATTCTGTATCTTGATGTTAGTTGGTTTATATTCTCCTGTATGTGTTACACTTTTATATTTTATATTCTCCTGTATGTGTTACACTTTTTCAATATGTAGTTTGAAACCTTTTTGTTTCAGGAAAATTGTCTTGAATTATAATTTTCAATATTGTTCTATTGTCTGTCTTGATTTCTTCTTCACTGTCTTCTGTTGTTGTGAAGCATCACAGTTGTCTTCCCCAGTTTGATTGCTGTCTTGTTTCTCAGCTACCCAGAACTGAAGCCTGTGCAGTCCATCAATGCCCATCCTTCTAACTGCATCTGTATCAAGTTTGACCCCATGGGGAAATACTTTGCTACAGGAAGTGCGGATGCTTTGGTCAGCCTTTGGGATGTGGATGAGTTAGTATGTGTTCGGTGCTTTTCTAGGTAAGTGATCTGCCCAGCACTTTCCTTGTTAGGTAAATTAATTTTATTTTATCCTGGGTGAAATTGTATGTTCCTCATATTGGATAATTCTAATGTCTCCTATTCACTCCATAATAGGCTGGATTGGCCTGTGAGGACGCTCAGTTTTAGCCATGATGGAAAGATGCTGGCATCAGCATCAGAAGATCATTTTATTGACATTGCTGAAGTAGAAACAGGTAACTTAATGAGAATCTTCTGTTTTTTACCTGTGGTCAACAGGACTTCTCTTGTCATGTGTTTTCATCTCTGCACGTTACTACTTCACCAGCTATCATAAATCAGTTGGTTTCCTTAAGGCAGGTTAGTTTGTTTGATATTATGACCATTACTGCCAGGTAATGAGGGGGCAGAGACGTAGGAAGGAAACAGGCAGGACTGAGGAAAGTGATTTAGGAAACTGTTTCATATTCTGTTAACTTTTAATTCTTCTACTATAATTAAATTTGTAAAATACAGAGGAGAAAGAGAAAAGCATTGCCTGTGGTCCCACCATCTAAATACAGCTTTTTTGAATGTTGTGGTATATTTTGTTTTATTTTTTACCTGTGTATGAACTTGAAAAAAACAATTTTTATAATTTAAGGAATTATCAAAGTTTTACTTTAAAAAACAGAAGTGGAAAATAAAAATTCCGAGAGTACTCATTTTACATAAGAATGTCCTCAGCTTTATTTTTTAGTGTAGCTTTATTGTTTTTGGAAATATGTGATATTCTTTGTGAGATAAATAATATAGAAAACTTCCTAGAAAAAGTAAAAAACTTCAAATTCCACTTTTTTTTTTTTTTTTTATTTGTAGAGACAGAATCTCACTTTATTGCCCTTGGTAGAGTGCACTGATATCACACAGCTCACAGCAACCTCCAACTCCTGGGCTTAGGTGATTTTCTTGCCTCAGCCTCCCAAGTAGCTGGGACTACAGGCACCCGCCACAATGCCTGGCTATTTTTTTGTTGCAGTTTGGCCAGGGCCGGGTTTGAACCCACCACCCCGGTATATGGGGTTGGCGCCCTACCCACTGAGCCACAGGCGCCACCCAAATTCCACTAAAGAATGCCTCTGTTGATAACATTGCAGTGAGCACTGTGTAGCTATCCAGCCATGCAAGTGCCTTATGTAAGCCCATGGTACCACAATGCAGCAATAGGCTCCTACTCAGGGATTTGCTTTTAAGTTAAACCACCCACTGACCTGTAGCTTCTCTGTGCCTCAGTGTTCTCTATAAAATGAGGTAATTTATCTTTCCTGTCTCTTTAGGATAATTAAATGGATTAAATGAGTTAATATAGGTATAAGTACTTAGAATATGCCCAAATTAAGGTGTTGAGTTGTTTCTCTATGTTGACTTTTATAGGAGACAAGCTATGGGAGGTGCAGTGTGAGTCTCCGACCTTCACCGTGGCTTGGCACCCCAAAAGGCCACTGCTGGCATTTGCCTGTGATGACAAAGATGGCAAATATGACAGCAGTCGGGAAGCCGGAACTGTGAAGCTGTTTGGACTTCCTAATGATTCCTGAGATGAGGTCGTAGGGAGAGGAGGCCCTGGCAGAGGGCTTTCTTTGTCCATTTAGTTTAGTCTGTTCTCTTATAGTTGGAGGGCACCCTAAACATGTAAGTTGATATAGATTGTAACAGTCTTTTGTTAGCCTGTCCATTCTAACTGCTTTCCTTATTGTTTGTGTTGGCTATTTCCATTCTTCCCTTTCCGGCATCAGTTAGCTAAGGAACACTCTACAGTATGGAGAATGACCCCATCATATTTGTCCTTGGGACCTCCTGTCTTCTTCACTTAGGGGTATATGGTGGGTTTTGTTGAGCTTGACAGTACTTGGACTGTTTAGAGGAAGGGCTTAAAGCAGGGTGGGATAGGCATGGAGGGGTTTTTCATAACTAAAAAAGAAATATATAACTTCAAGAATTGAACATTTAATAAAACTGTCCTTTTAATTATGAGACTTCTAAGATACTTAAAATTATGGTACTATTGTATTCTTATATTGCACTTTGTATTTTTTTAAAATCTTAAAATAGAGTTAAATGTTATAATTCTGTTGTTTAACATCCTAACCAAAAACACTATGAAATGTGGGGACAAAGCTTAAAGTACATGGGCTAGAGCAATCCTTAAAAGTCATCAGATGTTTACATGAATGTGTATGTATATGCCTGGCCTCATTCTACAAAGGAGTTGTAGACAACAAATTTATGGCAAACATTGAGAAAAGTAGTGAGATAAATAAGAAATGCAAAATCAGGATAAGATAAATAGAAATTAGAAAGTCAAGACTGGGGAATTTAAATTGAAATGTGTAAGGAATAATGGCTAATTGAATGATTGAACTAAAATTTTGGCTTGGGGTCCCTGTTGGCAAAGCGAAGTGGAGGATAAGTCAGTTGATTCTTATTAAATAGAAAAACACATGCCAGTTCCTCGTGGAAAGCAAAGCTTAATTAGTTCTTACCTTTAAAAAATGGCTTATATAGTGGGTTGTTACCTATAAGAAAACAAAATAGAAATATACCTTAGTAAGTTGTAGAAAATTCTGGGTAAAGGCAAGCAAAAAGAAAAGTCATATTCCTAGGATCAAGTAATACATTTTGATGTATATCCTTCCAGAAGTTTTTCTGTGCCTGTATTTATGTATAAAGACATGTTTATCTTCATAAAAATCTTGAGGGGTAGACCAATCAAGTATGACAAGATGAATTAGGCGAGGTGCCCAGTACCATGTTGGGAAATATAAACACTTAGTGAGTCTTAATAGACATTTTTAGTTACTGGGCATTCCTTAAATGTCTGGTACTGTAATAAGCAATTTACATCAGCTGTTACTCAGTTTTTGCAACAGCTTTTTGATGTGGGTGTTATCAACACTTTACTACCTCAGGGAGTTTAACTTGGTGTTACTCATCAAGTGACCATATTCAGACTGAGGTTTGCTTGAAGGCCTGTGTAGTTTGTATTGCAGTGGGCTACTCTGTTTCTGCCAACGTTGCCATTCCCACTTCACAGATGAGTAAACCTTGACTCTAAGTCCACTGTTGGTCTAGGTTAGTGAGTGATTCATTGAGCTGTGTCTTCAGGCCCTCATGCCTTTCTCTCACTTCTGCAGAACGGTCTTTTCAGTACATACTGACTTGCTGTGTCATTGTGTCAGAAGGTCAGTATTGTTCATGCCACTGAAGTAAATTTTGATGTGTTCTTTCTTTTTGCAATGATCTTTCATTCCTGTAATCTCTTCTGTGTTAATATGTATTTCCCTGGGCAGTGGAGCCGGATGCTAAGGGTGTGGGTTAGGTCTTAATATTTGATTGAGTCCCTCTTCTGACCATGTGAATTTTTTTCTCCTTTGAGTTTATGTAAAGTAGTGATCCACACTGCATGCCACTTAAACAAATGAGATTTTTGCATTTAACTAGTGGAGTGCTTGTAGCAAAAGGAAAACGCATCTGTGAGGAAAGAGCTCCAGCTTATGGCAGTGTTTTAGGCTGGTAAGGTCTTGATGGTACTATATCTGTGCCTTTGGTTTGAAGTCCTGGAGGAGCTCAAAGGTAGGTCCATTGTAGAAAATGACAGACCTGGGGCTCCTTTAGTTTGAGAACATAGTGTGGTTCTGCAGAGCTGGAAGGATGACATTCACAGTCATAGCTGGCCTTTTGTTACTCTGTCAGTCCAGGCATTTCCCATAGTTGCTACTGCACACACTAGGAAGCCAGAGCAAGCTTCATTTTAGTTGTTAGGGAAAGTTTGGGATTTGCTGTACCAATGACCCATTGCCATGTTGCTTGGAATTACAAATCAGGCTAAAAAATGCTAGAAGATTATAGTATTAATACTGTGTTTTTGCTGAGATTCTGGTATCTCTGTGGGATGAAGTCTAGGTAGGGTGAGTATGCCAAATGTTAAGCTTGTGAGCAATGGATGGGTGTGTCTTGTGAGTTGTACCCCCACCTAACCTGCATGGGCAGAGGCTGTGTAGCTGGGGTCTTGGTGAAGGGCTATGTGTGGGGATTGGGAGGTAGTGCAGGAAGTCCTGTCCAGAGACAGGTAGATGCAAGGAACAGGCTACGCCCAGAGTAGGCTTGGCTCCTAAGCAGGAGACTGAGGTGTGGTGTACCAGAGGGGAGTCAGAGGCCAGCCCTGGGAGATGCCATAAAAGTATGTGTGTGCGTGTTCCCACATGGGTGAGGAACTGATTGGGGTGTGATGTGACATATAGGTGGGCTCAGTTTAGAGTGGCTCAGAAGGCCCAACACAGTGGCTTGCACCTGTAATTGTGGCACTCTGGGAGGCTGAAGCTGGTGGATTGCTTGAGTTCAGGAAATCAAGATTAGCCTGAGCAAGAGTGAGACTCCGTCTCTACTAAAAATAGAAAAACTAGCTGGGGATTATGGTGGGCACCTGTAGTTTCAGCTAGTTGGGAGGCTGAGGCTAGAGAATCACTTGAGCCCAAGAATTTGAGGTTGCTGTGAGCTATGACACCACGGCATCTACTCAGGGTAGAAGAGTGAAACTGTCCTTAAAAAAAAAATAGAGTGGCCAAGAATGGGACAGATATATCCTTGAACCCTTTCTTGTTTCAAGGATATCTTCTCCTTAAAAGGCTTTTAGTCACCAAATGGACCATGAAATATCTATCTACTTGGGAAGGAAAAACCATAGAAGGAAAAGGAAGGTGCTGTCTTCAGGAAGGAATTAGAAACCATATAGAGAGAGTGCATTGCAAGCTCAGAAATGCCTACATGTGGGCAGGTGTTGCCTTCTTTTCGCTCTCTGACACTGTGGTAGAATGGGAATGATACTGGCTTTGGGCAGAAGCAAATCGAATCCTGGCTCCAGCAGTGATGTATCTGAACTAACTTTCCTCATCCATTAAGTGGGGGATAATTAGGGTTATTAGAATTAAATGACCTAAAGTATTTGTAACATGTCTGGCACAGCACCTGGTACAAAGGAGATGATTACAAAAGCCTCTGGTAGTAGCCCCTAATGAGAGCACAGGGGCTGGCTGTAGAGATAAGTTGTCAGTCTATCAGCTTTCTCAGAACCAAGTGCTCCAACTGTGTGAGCCCTGTTCATCATTCCAGGAGCAGGTGCTGTGAAGGCAGGAGATATATCAACCACACTCAGTGTTTGGGCCCATGATGGATATGTGTGTGTGTGTGTAAACAAGATTAGCACAACTCAGAACTGCACACCAACAGGGGAGATAGGAGGAGGAGGAGAAGACAAGGCCTCCGTGCAGGTCTTGAGTATAGTGGGTATGAATGCAGGCCGAGGACGGGGTGCTGCAGCGCGGAGCAAAGCTGAGGTGGTGACTTTGTCAGGATGTGGAGAAGGTGGCCAGGGGAAGTTTTTAGAGTTTGGACTGGCTGGTAGAGTGGCTAGGTGAGTAGGGAAGAGACAGATAGGCTAGGGTTCAAATCTTTTTCTGCAGCTGCCAAAGGGTATCCATGATTCTGCTTATCTTTTACATGTGCATAATAGTGTCACTAACAAGAGTTGAGTGAGTTGATGTGTGTAAAATGCCTGGCAGGTTGTGGATGTGCAGTAAACAATAGCTATTATCGTTATGTAGATGTTAATACCACATGTATGTGCTATGTAAACTTTCGTACATGAAGAGGGGCTTTCACTATCGCCTGGGCTCATCACATTGTGTCTAAAAGGAAGAGATAAAGGGTTGTATGTATAGAACATATTGGCTCAGCGCCTATAGCTCAACCGGCTAAGGCGCCAGCCACATACACCTAAGGTGGCGGGTTCGAATCCCCAGCCTGGACCCGCCAAACAACAATGACGGCTGCAACCAAAAAATAGCTGGGCGTTGTGGCGGGCGCCTGTGGTCCCAGCTACTTGGGAGGCGGAGGCAGGAGACTCGCTTGAGCCCAGGAGTTGGAGGTTGCTGTGAGCTGTGATACCACAGCACTCTACCCAGGGGGACAGCTTGAGGCTCTATCTCAAAAAAAAAAAAAAAGAAGATATTGTAGACTGGGCATGGTGGCTTATGCCTGTAAAGAAGATACTGGAGGCCGAGACAGAAGGATCACCTGAGCCCAGGAGTTCAGCCTGGGCAACATAGCGACCCTGTATCTACAAAAAATAAAAGAAATTAACCAGGTGTGGTGGCATGCGTCCCAGGTGCACAGGAGGCTAAAGAGGGAGGATCCCTTGAGCCTAGGAGTTTGAGGCTGCAATGAGCTATGATCATGCTACTATATAACCTATGTGACAGAGCAAGACCCTGTCACCAAAAAAAGAAAAAAGACAACCCTGATAAAAGGGGATGGGTTGTGTGGAGAAAATGAGTATTTAGCATTTATTGTTTAGTACCCATTTATATAGCTAGACCCCTTTTATCAGCATTTAGGGAGATTAAAGGGAAAATACTCAGACAACGATGACCAATTTACTAGCAGTTTATGTGTTTGACGTAATGGAACATATTGGTTGACGTAATGGAACAACATGCGGTTGCCAACATGGAACATAGGTTACATTACAGACATCCAGTATCTGAGTCTTTAGCCATGTAGGAGAAGCAGGCCTAGCTGTGAAAACATGCCCACCACACCAGCAGCACTGCAGTAATAAAGTCACGGGGTACAACTTGCTAGGCTGGCATGACGTCAGATATCACTCGGACCACCATGCATCTGCCAAGAACAAGTTGCCAAACTCACTTCTTACCTTTCTGATCAGGTTCCTAGAATACAAGTGAGGGAATGGCGCTGGTAAGGCAAGGAATCTGCCCAGACATGCTTGGATGCTCTCAAGGACCAAAGGACCAGTGCTGGCAAAGGTGGATTTGTACCTGGCCATCAACTACTTTTACTAGTACAACAACTGACTGAAGTCAACTTGTAGAAAAGTTTCTCTCCTGGTACGAGAAATCACTGTGGAATTCAAGAAGATGGCCAGGCCTGTAATTATTGGACATCTGTGAGGGAC